TTCTCATCACCTTCTCTGTTACAAGCCACCCCTGGCAATAACCACCTTCCTACCCACATGACTTTTTAGTGTTGATGCATTTGTTGACATTACTGCACAGCTGAAGTCGCTATGAGTCGGGTCCGACTTGATGGCACACAACAACAACAACAACAACAACAACGAAGATGAACCACAGCCTATAGATTCCTCATTTGGAAGTTTCTTAAAGGTTACATTTGAGGGAATCATGGGATGTGACAAGGTGAAACAATCATTATTCTATAACAAGTGAACAAAGCCCCCCTAACTGACAACAATTTTGGCCCTATCACTTTTGGTATTTTGCTGGCTATCTTGGAACCTCCAAATAACACTGCTATCAGTTAGTTTCTATAAAGGTGGATTGATCAATTGTTTTTACCTCTAATTCTATTAGTTTCTGCATTCTTTCATTTAAAAAACGTATTCAAATTACTTGTTGTTCCAAGAATTATCTGTAAGAAGCTGGACCTTAGAAATGATCCCTAATTGGGGTTATTGATTAAAAAAATCATTGCCATTTGTTGAGTGCTTACTGTGTTTTGGGTACTCTGCTTTATATTGTCACATTGAATCCTCATTTTACAGATGAGAAATCTGAGGCATTGAGAGGTCATGTCGTGTGCCCAGGTAATAAGTAGTAGTGAGAGTCTGAGCTGGGTTTTCAATTCCAAAGCCTGTGCACATAACTACTTTGTAATTGTACCATCCATAAGCTGCATTAATGATATATCTGGCAGTAGAAGTATATGTGACTTTTCTTTAGGTGATTAATTTACAAGTAGGTTGTAGCTTAATGTACTGAGATGATCTGATCATTTTTCTGTTTGGGTTTAATTTAAGGCAGCAGAAAAATTCTCATTTCATGTTGTGTGCAACCTTTTTGTCAGATGAGACATGACCTTATTTTTATCTTTGATCTTGAGTTATGAAGGAGGTTGTTAAAATGAATGATATCCTGCCACTGTTGCCTCTTTCTCAGAAGCCTAATATTAAATTAGTTTATATTTCTGCCAATGCAAAGGGTATTTGAATAACAAGGGCATAAATTATCATAAAGGTTGAACTTTATTTCTGATTCCAGTTACCTCTCCAAAATTGTGAATAACAAATTAGAGAGACATGTTATGTTCAAGTGTGACAAATTACCTTCTTGGGCTTTAAGACTTGATTTTTAATTTATGGTAGTAAATTCTCATTAAAGATAAATGTGAAAATAAAGGACAATAAAAAGAAGGTTGCAAAATCGTTCATAGTTCTGTCACTCAAACAATTATTTTAAAATGTTTGTTCTGGTTACCTAGTGCCGCTCTGACAGAAATATAGTGCAAATGGGATGGCCTTAACAAACAGGAGTTTATTCTCTTACAGTTTGGAGGCTTTAAATCCAAGTTCAAAGTGGCAGGCTCTAGGGGCTGGGTAAAAGCCCCTCAACCTTGGGCTTCAGCTCTGCCTCCTGCTCCCGGCCCACTGGAGCTAGCGGTGTTTCTTCACTCAGCTGCTGGCGGCTGAGGGTGGCAAACCCAAGGTTAACAAGTAAAAAGACACAGTCCTGATGTTACCAAACCACATGGCAGGCTATTAATTTAAGTCCATTCTAAGTCCCAAGGTCAGCAGAGCATGGCAGGCTGCTGAACAATGACATGGCTACATGCAGGGTCCAAGCGTGCCATAAGCTAGAGATGATTCCCAAGGCTTCTCCTTATATACAGGAAGCAGACCACATCCCAGAGGCAGCTACTCAGCTGCTTGTGGTAGATCCCACCATGGAGTTGATTGTCAGTCTCATCATGGGGAATAACTACCACCAGCTACCCAGCCACTGAACCAGGCCCAGCCAAGTGACATACAAACATAATCACCACAATGTTTTAGTACTTATGTATATATCTATATAATTTCCCACATGATTAAAATCACAATGCGTCAGTTAGGGTTCTTGGTAGTGAAGTGATTTTTGGAGGTGATGGGCTGAAGGGAAGCTTACAGAGCTGATTACAGAACTGATGGGAGGTTGGGGCACAGAATTTAAAACAGTAATGACTAAAAGGGCTTTGCTAAGCCAACAAACGGAAGGCAAGGTACACAGTGATCTTAACATAGTTCACCAGGAGGCTGCTTCCACCCATAGAATGTGGGACAAACAAACTGTTTCTCCCTTCCTTGCTGCATTCTATCAAGATTCTGAGTTCCAGGAAGTAGAGGGAGGAATTGATCCTTTTGCTTTTATTTTTTTTTTGCTGAGTGTTTTATATGTGCTGAATACTCTTCTGAGTGCTTTTGTAAATAACTCATTCATATCCTCACAAAATTCCTTTGAGGCTGTTACTCTTTATATCCTCATTTTATAGTTGAGTTACCAGATGAGGCACAAAGGAGTCCAGTAGCTTACTACAGCAAAGAGGGCTAGCTGGGGTGTACACCCAGTGGTCCAGCTCTAGGGCTTATGTGGTTAGCCATTCCACTATAGTGAGCTTAGACTCTGTCCAGTGGGGGACAGTGGATTTCTTGAAATGAATATGACTGTTATTAGAGAACTGTTTGATCAAAATATGCCAGCTGTTCATTAAAGATATTTTAAAACTTGTACAATAACTGTATGGCTATGTAGTTCTTGTCTTCATATGTTTTGTGCATCTTAAGAGTGAGTGGTTTTCAAGACATTGTTTCTCATAAAATTTACAACCAAGTAAAAAATTTGCTCCTTTTATCCTGTCTTCCCTTCTATTGATGGGAGTAATTTTTATTTTGACTGCTAACTAGAAGGCTGGTGGTTCAAACCCACCAGCCACTTCTCGGAAAGAAGATTGGGCAATTCACTTCCACAGAGTACCGCCTTGGAAACCCAAGGAGGGGTTGCTATGAGTTAGAAACAACTCTATGGCAGTGAGTTTGGTTTTGTTGGTTTTGAGTGGTTCAGATGGTTGACATACTTGACTGCTAACTGAAAGGTTGGAAGTTCAAGTACACCCAGAGGTACTTCAGAAGAAAGTATTGGCAATCTACTCCCCACAATCAGCCATTGAAACCTCTGTGGAGTACAGTTCTGCTGTGGTACATATAGGCTCACCATAAGCTGGAGTTGAATTGATGCAACTGGTGTAGCTATGAGCAAGACCCCTTTTCAGTGTTGTACATCATTATTTAATTTTTCCTCAGAAAATTTTTCTTTAGTGTAGCTATTTCATTAAAAAAATGAGTAAATTATGATAATTGCAATGTAACTTTTAGTAAAATATTAACTTTCAAAGGGTTCTTGTTTATAGGGCATACTGTCATCTACATTTATATTGAAGGCTGCTTTCAGGGCTCAAATTTAGGAATTGAATACTTGTGACATTTTTAATAACATCTAAATGTCAAGAAAGAAAATCTGACAGCAACAATAGGCCTCTTGCCTCATTATTCTAAGAACTTACAGGTATATAGCAATGGAGTGGTTTATTTACTGATTTAATTTTTTAAAACACTTCATCATTATAGAATTACCTGTTGAATTGATGAAATTATGAATACTTGTGATTAGTGTCTTCTGATCAAAAACCAAACAACTTGGTATTTTATTTTACTCTTAATAAATTCGCAATATCATTTACATTCTTGACTCCTTAGTTTGTCTTTCCTTTTTATCTTAAAATAGTATTTTTACTATATTATATTCCTTTTTAAAATTTACAAGTAATATATAATTAATGAAGAAAATTCAAGGATATAAAATGTATGTAAAGATTCCTCACATCCTTTTCTCCTTATTGTACTACTCTGCAGTAACTACTGTTAGCAATTTGGCATGTAATCTTTTTGCCCTTTTTCTCTCTAAACAGACAGACAAATGTGCACATGTGTGCATACACACACACACACAGAGGTTTTTTCCCAAACTAAATGGGACTTTATAGAGTTTTTTTTTGTTTGTTTGTTTGCCTGTTTATTCAATAGTACATATGTATTGTTTTATGTTAGAACTTTATTCTTTTGTAGAGTGGCATGGTGTTTTATAGTATGAATCTGATTAGTAAATTCATTGAATAGCTTTTTCTTATTGACTTGTAGATGCTCTTCATATATTGTGGAAATTAACCTCTGATTTATTATATACTTCATGTTGCCTTACAAAGGAGGACCATCTTGTTAATACCAGATGAATAAAAGTCCAGGTTTCCTACTTGGCGTCTCTTGACATTTGAGAGGGGAGAGTTGAGAGATCCACCTCCCCACGTGGTCTCCACTGACACTGTTAGGGGATGGTGTGCTTCAGTATTGCCAAGTGGAATTGGAAGTCAAAGTCCTATGTGTGGTCTCCACTGATGTTGCAGGGGGAGCTCATTACTAACCAGCCCAAAACTCAACTGCTGCTGATTTGATTCTGACCAATAGTGATGCTATAGTGACCCCAGCAGGGATAAATGTCTTGGTTCCTTATTTAGCCTTCTTTGTACCACCCTTGTGGAGCTTTGGGCACCTTGCTATTGCCTCAAGGGGTTGGAACTCTAAGCTCTCTACCTGACTTTTCTGGTATGAATGGGGATGGACCCATAATTTCTTCTGTAATACTTGAATAGGGTGGATATTGTCTAAATGTTTTAAATCTTTCTAGGCCTTCCTTTTCTTGGTCCTTTGGTTAGAGAGAGCAGGCTTTTGTTGGGGCTTCTTTTTTATTTCTCTGAATTTGTTGTTATTTCCAGGTTGCTGGCTTCTTCAGCTCCAGGTTGAGGATATACATGAGACAAAAAGAAAACCCAGGAAACTCACCATCATGTTATTCCTTGCATCCCAAGTTCCTGGCCAGTTTCCTTCTCCTCTCCGTCTTCTGGACTTTTATAATGTCTGTTTTACATACAATGTCCAGTTTTTTTAGTGGGAGGAATTTGGAAAAGTATGTCTACTCCCTGTTTCCTGAGGCAGGGACCATTTCAGTCATTTTTGACCTTTATTTTCTGTTTACCATGAGTTCCATATGGCTCTTCTTCTTTATACAGGTACCTGGAACTGGAGAGCAGTGGCCATCGGAATGAAGTAAGACTGCATTACCGCTCAGGCAGTCACCATCCTCACACAGAAGTATTTCCTTACATTTTGGCTGATGACAAGTGGCACAAGCTCTCCTTAGCTGTCAGTGCCTCCCATTTGATTTTACATGTTGACTGCAATAAGTAAGTGAAACATTCTCCATCCAGAAAATTAAAGATTCTGAGAAATGATTGTCTACTCATGTTCCTTCTCTGTTGTTTCTTTTTTGTAGAATTTATGAAAGAGTGGTAGAAAAGCCCTCCATGGACTTGCCTCTGGGCACAACATTTTGGGTGGGACAGAGGAATAATGCACATGGATATTTTAAGGTATCTTTTGGCTACAGTCTGAGCATAAAGTGTAAATGTAAATGATTTGTAGTGAGTTGCAAAAAGTCTATTTGTCTTGTCTTGGTGTGAAATAAAGTAATTTGATTTGCATTTTTTTTTTTTTTAAGACTTCAAACCAGTTCAGTCATGGTTGACACAGCAAAATTGGCACAGACCCAAATTTTTAAAATGTGGATGAAGCAGAATGATGACTATAACTGGAAAAATTACAAGTTGAAGCCATGGAATAGGAGACTTGGAAGAGGCCTAGTGAGTCTTTTTAGAAGCCTGAGTAGGAGATCCCTTTGTTGGCCATGACTGAATCTGGAAGAACTGGTTTGAAGCCTCCCCCACTTTTATCCCCCTGGTTTTTGTCTATTTGTTTTCTTTTTGTATTTTACACTTAGGTTTTTTTTAGCTGGCAAAACCTATTTTATGTTTTTCTCCTGAATGAGTTTGATCTTTAGCCATTGCAGAGATGTTCACAAGGCTACTGTCAACACAGTTAACATGTCATTCTTGAAATCAAGCATTCAAAGTAATAACAGTCTAAAATGTTAATATACAAATAAATTCTCTGCCACTGAAACAAAACCTTTGATGATACTTTTATAGGGTTGTTAATAATAGAGGACTGAAAGCTTTTTTGTATTCATTATTCATGGTCTCCTTGTATGCCAGAAAATGGAAAAGGAGTAGATATATATGCACAAATCCATCAAAAAGTAGAAAGCCAGTCATGATTTATTTCTTTCTATTTAGTGTCTACTTAGAGACAACACTCCATAGAATTTCATCATTGTAGAGGACCTAAATGACATCCCACTTAATATTGTATATTTTAAGGATGAAAAATTAAAGTTAAGAAAATTACCTGACTGCAAGCCCATAGTATAATCATTTCCCTATCCCTCTCTCCCAGTTACTATGACCAGAGGTATATCTGTTGTTGTTGTTGTTATGTGCCATCGATATATCTAGGGCATGCCATTTATGGCTTGTACTCTGGGTGCCTCTTGAGTGGGATAGGTGCCACTGAGTAGTTTCTGTTGGTCTTTGCAGTTTCCATTGCTAGCTGTGAGAGATTATTCAGCAATTTATAACTAATTACCATAGGTGCTATTTTCTGTAGATGCACCTTCGACTGTGATAGTGCCTGAAATACAGAACTGGCTCAACAGATGATTGTTAAATGAATCATAAGTGATGTGTCCAACTTACGGATTTCCAGGAGAGTAGGTAACAGTCAATTTAAAATTGTGCTGTCAGCAGTTTATAATCCTAGAAAGGTGTTTTTAAAATGTTTACACATTGTCTATTATTTACCAGGTGCTTTGAATATGTTATTTATTTTATCATAGCATTACTAACTTTGATGAAGGGTATTTTGTTTCTCTTTTACATATTCATAAACTTGCTTAGAGACATTAAGTAATTTGCCCAAAGCCAGACAACTAGTAAATGACAAAGATGGGAAATTACGTCTTGAAAATGAATGCTCTTTTCCATACAAGGGATGGTAAATGTGCTGTGTTTGTCAGATCTCTCTTCTTGAGGTGACAAAGATGCTTAACCATGGCAGCCTTTCACATGGAGCTCAAATGTAGCCTCAAAATTCTTCTCACAAAAATTTTGTGTATAACTTTACAGGTCATTATTTTTACTATAATCTGTGAAGGGTGCCCAATAAAGTCATGCACTATACAAACTACACAACGATCATGTAGCCCTATTTCTATATTGCTACCTCCAAGTGTAGGAACTGGTATAAAAGTGCCATCTCAGCCCAAACCCAAGCAAACAACAAATCCAGCAACTGCCACTCAGTATACTAAAATATATCAATATAGTAAAATATCATTCTCATTGACCCATTTTTTTTTGTACTATGCTATTAACCGGATTAAATGTAGAAGATATATAGGACATTATTGACTGGTAAATCTTTATAAGTACATTCAGAATTGCCTTCACAATATATTAGTACTGTTACCCCTGTCATTAGACATTCTGTTTGCATTTCTCAAAGGGATAAAGTGAAATATTAATTGAAGAAAATATATAAAGTTGATGAAGGGAGAAAGACGGGTGGTGGTTGAAAGGGACAGCTGGAGTGTGTCTGATGAGATCATTTCTCAGCTACCATTTGGCTTTTGCTTTAAGAGTTCAGGAAGCTAGAAGCTTAATGACTAGGGATGCATGTAAATTTTGCCTATAAACATGTGATGTGGCCTTCTGTGTAAAATGGTTCATTTCCAGTTGACATTTAAAAAAATTTCATGCTAAAGTTTTTGTACTCCTAAGGACTCATTACTATATCTTACTGCAGTTGTTTAATAAATCTACTGTCCTTCATGAATTGAGACATTAGCTTTAAAACATCCACCTGAAAAATGACAAATATCCAAGTGATCATTGCTTCCATAGCTCACTTTTTCCATCCTTTTGTTTTTGATGATTGCAGTTACTTTAAAATAACTGTCAGTTTCAGTGTTGCTGAAACCAGAACTGATTTTCAGGTTGATTTTTAAAGGTCATTTTCAAGCCTTACTTCAGTGACTAACTAAAAATAACATCTCAAAACATGACTATTCCTTCTTAATTAGATCTTGGCATTTATCTTAAGGCTTTAAAAATACTATCAATAAGTTAGTACATGATTAATCATCTATTTTGTCTGATATATTTCTTTTCTTTTGGTATGAAGTAAAAATAATGTCTTTAAAATGTCTCTTTTCTCAGGGATTTTAGGGAGTCAATCCTGAAATGTTTTCCTTCTTGAACCTGACTCTTGAACATAATTTGGTTAGATGAAAGTAATATGTCTTTTTTTATTTTTCACACACAGGGTATAATGCAAGATGTGCAATTACTTGTCATGCCCCAAGGATTTATTGCTCAGTGCCCAGATCTTAATCGCAGTAAGTCTATTAGTTCTTGCACTGTGATGAAAAGTGTGTTTCTTACTTAATTTTGTCCACAATGTCAGTTTGAAAGTGGAGTTCCCATCTATTACTTGTCAGTATAGACTTAACCAGATTGAACCTCTTATAAATACAACTTGACCAATGTAGTGTTTGTAATTCCAGCCTGTCCAACTTGCAATGACTTTCATGGACTCGTGCAGAAAATCATGGAGCTACAGGACATTTTAGCCAAAACATCAGCCAAGGTAAAAGCTACTTAGAAATACAATGGGAGAGCTCAAACATCTCTGAGCTTTCTTACAGTTCCTTTTATGTACACCTTTAAGAATTTTCTTATACTACATTGTTTGCTGAGAACTGTAAGCTTTAGCCGTTGCTGAATCTAAATCCCTGCTCAAGGAAAGGGCTTATAAATATTTCAACCCTGGCCATCTGTATAAGAAATGGTTTGGTAAGTCAGGAATGAGGCAGATTACCTGATTTATATACTGCTTACTACAACGGGATTTATTGTGTAGTTTTTATTTTTATTTGTAGGCTAGGAGGAGATTATAAAGAATGTGGACATAAGAATTGTATCATGGAAATGGTCTCACCTACTATTTGCTGCCTCAAAGGTGCAGTTGCAGGATTACTCACCTAATCCTGTTTTAGCTATGTATCAGATTTACTTAAATTTTGCCTAGTAATTGCTAATAACCTAAATATTATATTGTGTGATATGTGATCTATTTTTGTACAATATAGATTTTAAAATGTATTTATCACTTAAGTAGGCATATTCATGAAATTAATCATTTTAAAAAATAGAAAATGCTTCTCTGCATTGTATGTGATGCTTTTTTGAATTAGTCTTCAATTTATGTATTATATAATATGCTTTTGTTTCAAAGACAGGAAGCAAATTTATCACAAAAACAAAAAGAGGGGAGAAAAACCTTCTTTCCACATAAAGGCTTAAATATATCCTTATAACAGTTGATGGATGTAGCCATCATTACTGCTGTCCACTTAAAAAAAAAGTAAGATGCCTATTGGAGTGTTTTGCGTTTCTGTGTTGCTGGAATGGTGAACAATGTGAATTGCTTCCTTTGTGCCCCAGCTGTCTCGAGCTGAACAGCGAATGAATAGATTGGATCAGTGCTATTGTGAAAGGACTTGCACCACGAAGGGAACCACCTACCGAGAATTTGAGTCCTGGACAGACGGCTGTAAGAACTGCACATGCCTGGTATGGCTTCCATTTGAGTCAGACTAAGGGAACGCAAGTACCCAACTCTTTAAAACTTTATTAAAACAATATAATCATGAAAATTTCAAGACCTGTTTCCTAAAGACACAGAACTAAAGTGCCAGCAAACTTGGTCACATCTAAAGAACTATGTGTTGCATTATTAAAAACACTTTCTAGCTTGTAAAAATGGTTATAGCTTAGGAATGCTATAAAGTTTAGTTTATTGGTACACACATGAAGTTAACAATTTAAATTAGCACAGTAAGATGATTCCCAAAAGAATTCTCTCCTATTAACCTTAACATTTCCAGGGACTTTCACTTCATGCTTTTATTAGTACATTTTAGTGAAGCTAAATTATATGCAGCATTAAATGTTGTGATTGAACTGAGCCATATAAACAAATAATTAAACAAATAAGTAATTTAAATTAATCAGATCATCATTAATAGTTTATTAATTCAATGGAATACAAGTTTTAGAGTTTAAATAAATAAAATTTATCTAATTGTTTACTAATAATGTAGGATATATTAATGCATTATTGTTTTTAAAAGATATGTCCTTTTTCAAGGAAAAGTTCAAAATTCATTGGTTTTGAATATTTAAATTCTATTAGCTCATCTGTTAAACTGGTTGACTGGAAAGAAGTCAGAGTTCTATGTGAGTTATATATATATTTTTTAAAATTTCCCATATTCATCCATTTTATTCAAAAGCAGAACACCATGCATATAAAAAGGTAGCTTAGAGGAGACTGTGTATGTGCATTCATATGCACTATATGATTTCTATTCAGGAACATAATTATATTCCTATCAAAATTTAGCACTTGAAAAATATGGAAAAGTGCAGTAAAAATTGAATTGAGTAAAATATGGGGATATAGTACAGTGAGGTCAGTAAAATGACTGGGAAAGCCTGAACAGCTAGCTCTTAGGGGCTCTCCATGACCTTCAAGAATCAAATTCCTTGCAAATTCTTGTGTGCAGATCCATGCCTCCTTGTGGTGGTTGTCAGCACTGCCTGTGGTGGTGGCCTGCCCCAGTTGAAATATCCATGGTGGGGATCCTCAGCTCTGTGATTGGGCCTTGCCAGATGGCAACAGCTATTCCAGGAATCTTCCAATTTATTGGTGTTTATTTTGTGGACTCATCTAAGGGAAACTTGGGTACCCAGGCCTGCCCTCAGCTTATTCTTTTTCTACCAGGTGGTGCCTTTCCCTCCCTCTCTGCCCTTATCTGCCTTTCTCCAGGAGATGAGAACTCTAACTCATTTAGGAACAGTAGCTGGGAGCAAACCACCAACTGTGTGAAAATCCAATTTGTGTTAGTGTAGATCTCTGTATCATTGGGATTTACTGTATAATAACCAAAAAGAATAGTGGTGCTTATGGTATTTTTTGTGAAGAGTTTGACATTTAAGAAGCAGATTCAAAGACTGGAAGACTACCAAACTATAACATGGAAATTCTTTAACTATTATTTTTTTCTCAGAATGGAACCATCCAGTGTGAAGCCCTAGTCTGCCCAATTCCTGACTGCCCACTTAAGTCTGCTCCTTCATATGTGGATGGCAAGTGCTGTAAGGAGTGCAAAGGTAAGCACAGTTTTTATGATGAATACTTTTCTTGGAAAAAGTAAAGCTTTCTAATCTCATAAGTATTCACTCATTATTGGCTATGTCTGGGCAAGCTAAATAGCTTTCAGAAATGATGGAAATAGGAAGAATACTTTCTCTATTTTGGTTGATCAGTTCTTTTCCATTTTAAAATTCTATACTTGTATTCTGGCAGGGAAATTTTTTCTTGGAAGAATCTATTCTCTATAGGGACAGTAATAGGAAAGATGTGTAAGAAACTTACTGAAAGGCATTTTACTCATTACACTCCTTGATGTGAATACTTCCCAAGTAGGTCAAGAATGGTCCACATTCAGCCACAATAACCAAGTAAGTTCATGACAAAAGTGATCACAGCATGTGATATGCTACTCCATTTGGCAGACCACAGAAGTCTACATTATTATATGATCATCCAGTGTGGACAAGGGCCATGGCCCTAATTAAGTTATGAAAAAACAAGGCTCATACTACTGAGCAGGAAGCTTTGCTGCATTTCAGTAGTCATAGTATCAGTCTACTTCTGGTGCCAGGAAATACACTTTGAATTATCCATAGCTATCCTCAACTGGGTTCTATGTAATTCATTCAATAATAAGAAACATCTCATCTATGTTACTTATGGTTTAAAACAATGCACTTAAATTCTTGTTAAGTGAAGCATTTACTATATTTAGTTATTTTTTTATGGAAAAGAATAGTAATGTTTATGAGAAGTGAGTTGTTATGAACTTTGTTTATAGAATATGTAGGGACTGTGTATATACAAAGGAGCTCTGGTGGTGCAGTGGGTAAGGCATTTGGCTGCTAACTAGAAGGTTGGCAGTTCAAATCCACCAGCTGCTCTCTGGGAGGAAGATGAGGCAATCTACTTCTATGAAGATTATAATCTTGGAAACCATGTGGGTCACATTGAGTAGACTCAATGACAGTAGGTTTGTTTTTTTGGTTTTGGTGTATATACAAGTATATTCCTATGTATACACATAAACACACACACAGAAAATTAACAGCTGCTTTTGTTACTATTTTTTTTTTGTGTTTACCATACTGCTTAATCATTGTCATACTTCATTCTTGCCTGCATAGTATGCACTGTTACTGCTGGTGAGAGTGACAAGTTACCAGAGCAAAATCAGGAAGTTGCTTTGTACTCCATTGATTCAATTCCCTCAGGAGCTCATTTATATTTAATTTTATTAGGCTGTACATTGAAGTCAGTCTGTTTCACTAAAGTGTATTAGCCTAGTCAAATAGATTTGGTGGAACCAGGGAGGATTGAGTCCAATTTTTCTTATATACACCACCAGCTAATTTCTGTGGTGAGAAGTAATCTGAATTTTTCTTTGGATTCACTAATAAGTAGAAGCACGTGGCAGTGTTCTGTAGTTATCTTTGTATGTGGTTGGAGGTAGGAAGAAGAAAGGTCCTATATAAGGCTTTATATTCATAACACAGCAATAGAAGGAATCATACTTTTTGCATTAACATTTTTTATCCTTCTTTCTGCCCATACTTTTACGTGAATCTGACAAATTTGTATTAAGTGGTGTTTTGGTTACCTAGTGCTGCTCTGACAGGAATATACCACAAATGGGATGGCTTTAACAAACAGGAGTTTGTTCTCTTATGGTTTTGGAGGGTAGGAGTCTGAGTTCAAAGTGCCAGGCTCTAGGGTCTTGATTTAGGCCTTTGACCTTGGGTGTTAGCTCTGGCTCTTGTTCCTGGCCCACTGAACCTAGACACATCTCTTCACTCAGGTAGCTGTTGGCTGTTGAGGCTAACAAGCCCAAGGTCGACCAGTAAAATGGCACAGTCCCGACATTATCAAATCACACGGCAGGCCATTGATTGAAGTCCCATTAATGGTCCCAAGATAGGCAGACAGCATGGCAGGCTGTTGAATAACCACTTGGCTATATGCAGGATTCAAGTGTGCCAAAAGCTGCAGACCATTCCCAAAGCTTCTCCTTGTATGTGGGAAGCAGCCCACATCCCTAAGCCACTCAGCTGCTTGTGGCAGATTTCACCATGGAGTTGATTGCCAGTCTTATCATGGGGAATAACTACCACCAGCTGCCTAGCCACTCAAAACCAGGCCCAGCCAAGTTGACATATAACCTTAACTGCCACAAGTGGTGTCAATTTTATTGGAGACAAGCTGATTGAAATAATGGACCATTGTGTGATAAATGCATTAGTCAAAAAGTGAATTTCAATTCTGATTTTACCCTTTGTCTCTGTTACCAATAGTAAGAGGCCTGCTAAATCAGACTGATGTTTGGAATCTTCCCACAACTGTGTAGTTAGAATTAATGGATTGCTAAAATATTTTGAGATGCATTAATGCAAAGTATTTCTGGCAGACTTTGGTGTTAATGATTGAAAATAGACTCTTTTTACCATATACATGAAATAGTGAGAGCCGAAAGTATTCAGTGAGGGAAGCACAAAATTGCTGGGGGGAGGAAAAAAGCCAAAATAGTTAATTCGATTCTTTCATTTTGTATAGCTAAAAGATAATAAAAATAAAGTGACTTTGTCTTTCTGGTCATATGACAAATGATTGTCATGGAATATAGAGGATTTATGCCAATGTTTGTTTGTATTTCAATTATTTGAACTTCTAGGTCTGATTAATTCAATTCTGTACAAGAGCTAGTAAGACATTTTCAGTAAACAATCAAAGAATCTTTTCCCCAAGGGATATGGGGTAAATATTAATGGAGATATTTGGGAATGAGTCTGCTCAAAACATAATTTGAAAACAAATCACTTAAAATATTTCAGGAAATGTGCTTCTGAAAGTTTTTACAAACATTTATTTTGTACAAGGAAAATGACGTTTAAAATAAAATTAATAATGATCCCTAACTGACTTGTTTAGTGAATGCAGATTTTCACATGTGCTTAAACGGGGAGAAACTGATTGTTTTATATATATATATATATATATATATATATATATATATTTGATGTCTGTCCTTCTTATATGTGTGTATATATATTTGTGTTACATATGATGAGAAACAATTTCATTTTCCTTGTTAGTTTGCCTAGTATTGTCATTGTTATAATTTATGAGAACTTCATTTCAGTAGAGTATAAATAAATAAATGAAGTCCTATGTTTTTTACTATTTGAAATACAGACATAAGTCTTTCTTCTAGACCTTACATTTATCCAACTATCCTTGAAAACTTGGGCTCAATTGCCTTTTTAAGAACAAAAAAATTAAAATATTTTCTTTATTGAGAACTGTTTAAGGAGGTTAACTGTATATTGTTCCAAAGCCTTTGGAAGGTAAAACATGTAACATTTGACAATGTTACATTGTCAACATTGAAAGGAGCAAAACAAGTGCGGCTAGTCATTTTTTTTTTCCTTATTTAATGCTTTCACGGTTGCTTCAGTAGAGGTGTTTGTGCAGTTCTGAGCAGCCCTGTGTTGCTTCCTGCTTTACAATTTCCTTCTAACTTCAGCACTAGTCCTTTATCCAAATCTAAATACTGATAAATAGCAAGAAGGTTGTTATTGTTCTGGGAAAGAAGGCAGAGAGAACCAAATCTTCAATTGTCTTTATTTGACTCTCTATAAGCAAAGTGTTGGGAGGAGGGGCTTAACCATTCCTACCCTTACCCTTGAGCTGTGGTGGTAGGATAAGCAGAGACATGATAAAATCCAAAGTCAGGAATGTCAACACCAAATATTATTAAGGTAATAGTAATCACAGTTATAATGTAGTCATGTCACTTCCATAGGTTCTAAGGCCCATTCTTTGTTTCTCATTTGAATTTTACAACAACTCTATGACATAGGTATTGCCTCCATCTTCCTAATAAGAGGAATTACATGACTTGTCGAGGAACACACAGTTAGTTAGAAGTCCCAGGTAAGTTCCATCTGAAAGTGGTGTGCTTTCCCAGCCTACTTCATTCTTTAAAACCATTGACTACAATTAATCTAAGTGATTCACTCTTTAAATGCTTTTTTTTTTTTACATTTTATTGTGGTAACATATATATATATATACAACATAAAACAGCCATTTTAACAATGTCTAAGTTTGCAATTTAGTAGCATTAATTAATTCATGATGTTGTGCAATCTTCATTACTATCTATTTCCATAACTTTTTTATCACCTGAAACAGAAACTCTATACCCATTAAGTAATAACTCCCCACTTTTCCCTCCTCCTATCCCCTGGTTACCTTTGATCTACTTTTTATTCCTTTTAATTTACCTATTTTAGATACATCATATAAAGAGGATCATAGATAGCTATCCTTTTCTATCTAGCCTGTTTCACTTAGCATAATGTTTTCAAGGTTCATCTATGTCATAGTATGTATCAGAACTTCATTTTTTATGGCTGAATAATATTCCATTGTATGGATGTACTCTATTCTGTTTATCTATTCAAATATTGATAGACCTTGATTGTATCCAACTTTTGACTGTCGGGAATAGTGCTGTAATGGACATTGGGTACAGGTATCTGTTTGAGTGCCTGCTTTCAATTCTTTAGGGTTTATACCTCAGAGTGGAATTGCTGGGTCATATTGCTAATTCTGTTCAAACTTTTTGAGGAATCACGGAATTGTTAATTGGCTGCACCAATTTACATCCCCACCAGTAATACACTTGGGTTCTTCACATAGTTGTCAACACTTGTTATTTACGGATATATATATATACACACACACACACACACACATACATGCATACATACATACATACATACATATACACACACTATCCTAGCCATTCTGCAGAAGTGAGACTGGGCAATCTACTTCTATAAAGATTTACTGCCTCAGAAACCCAGTGGGGGGAGTCACTGTGAGTCAGAGTCAACTTGATGACAGTAGGTTTTAGTCAGTGTGAAGTTGTTTTTGTTTTCTGTTTTTTTAAAAATTGTCATAGAATATTTATAACAAAACATTTGTGATTTTGACATTTTTTTACATTTATGAT